ACTCCGTAGTCTCCAGAAGGCTGGGCTTCAAGCTCAGGCCCTGGTAGCTGCCTTGAGACCACCAGGCCCTGCTCCTCCAACCACCACAGCACCTGCCACCTGACAGAGGACGACAACGGGCCCCCTGGCCCCCAACTGACCGCCGCTGGGAGCCTGCTTCAAATGTGGCTGAGAAGGCCACTGGTCCAGATAATTCCCCAACCCCTGCCAGGACCATGCCCCATCTGCAATGACCAGGGCAACTGTACAAGTGACTATCCCTCCACACCTGGCTGTGGTGGGCCAGTCCTTCCAGCCCCAAGCAACACTTGCCACTGGTGGTCTTGGGTTTGGCAGCTGAGGACTGAAGAGGCCCGGACTCGTCGACCCCAATAACCTTCAAGGAGCCCAGGATAACAGTTTAGGTAGCAGGTAAGTCCATCTCCTTTCTGGACTCTCCTCCAGGATGTTGCTGACCTCCTCCTCTGCAGCCCTTCTCCGCCACAATCTCAGCAACACACTGCACAACCCCTTACCTTCCTGTGCTCCAAAGGATACCATGTCTCCCCATCCAAAGCCCAACTCTCAGTTTCCACAGCCGTCTGTCTGGGTCTTCGACTAACTTCTTCCTCCAAACAGCTGACGGTGGACCACAAACAGGCCATCCGGGACCTTCCCTCCCCTGAATCGGCAGAACAAATCCTTTCCTTCCTAGGTTTGGTCGGATCCTTCCATTTTGGATCCCTAATTTTGCTTTCCTAGCCAAGCCACTGTACGATGCAGCAAAAGCCTCCCCTGAAGGACGTCTCCAATCCCCCGGGGAGGTGCGCAGGACCTTCCTTTTACTCAGATATATCCTCCTTAACTCACTCTTCCCCTCTCTGGACCCTCTTCAACGTTCTCTGATCCTCTAGATTCTCAGTCTAGAGAATGAGGGCACCTGCCCTGCCCTTCCTGATCCAGAAAAGCCTTTCTTCCTGTTCACAGACGAACATCAGTGCATGGCAGCAGGCGGCCTTTCCAAGCCTCTGGGCCCAGCCCTGCGTCCTGTCACTTATCTCTCCAAGCAGAGGGATCCCACCGTCAGGGGCTGGCAACCTTGCCTTAGTGCCCTGGCGGCGGCAGCTCTACTCACCCGGGAACCCCTCAAACTTACTCTGGGAAGACCTGTCCAAGCACATTCCTCGCACCGCCTTCAGGCCCTCCTGTCTCCCCGCCCGCTCTCCACTCTCACTCCTGCCCGCTCACAGGACTTCCACGTGCTCTTTATCAAAAACCCTCTGGTGAGTCTCACTCAGTCAAATTCTTTCAACCCAGCCCCTCTTCTGTCTCTGGCCCCCCTTCTGCTGCTCATTCATGCCCTGAAATCCTGGTTGAAATGCAAACCTTCAGACTGGGTTTGGCCAACTCCCTTTTGTCAGATGCCTACTGGGCTCTGTCTGTAGACGGCAGCTTTTGCGAAGGTGCGCGAGGTCAGCGGAGGGCTGCCTAGGCCATCGTTACCCTCGATCAGGTCATCGAGGCAGGAAAGCTGCCCGGAGGAACCACTTCCCAAAAGGCAGAACTCAGAGCACTTACCTGGGCCCTGACCCTCAGCAACCATAAGGAAGTCACCATCTATGCGGATTCAACATATGCCTTCCTTATGGCTCACAGTCACGCTGTGATTTGGCAGGAAAGTGGGTTCCTTTCCACCAAGGGGTCCCCCATCATTTACGCTAAACTTATTCTTAAGCTTCTAGCGGCCTTGCAGCTTCCAACTGAAGTCGCCATTATCCACTGTGAAGGACACCACACGGACAGTTCTTACGTGACCACAGGGAATAACAAGGCTGATGCAGCAGCAAGGGTTCCCACCACTGACTCTGCTGCAGACCCTGCCCCTATTCTCTATCTGTCCCCTCCATCACTCCGACTTAGGAGCCTAATGAACGCCAATTCCTGAGTCCTCATTTCCACCCCTCCTTGAGTGCAAAAGTCTGGCAGATACGTTCCCATCATCAAACCTGTGCTCGTGGATCACCTCATGGGGGAGTTCACCCACCTTCTTCTTTTGCAGCTCACCAGCTGCGTGGACACTTACCCAGACAGGATTGGCAGGTTGATTTTACTCACCTCCCTACTCACAAAAAGGTTAAATATCTGCTAGCAATCATTGATACAATGACAGGTTGGGTGGAGCCCTTCCCTGCAGCTAGAGAAATGGCTCAGGTGGTAACCGAGGCCCTTCTTAACCACATTATCCTGCGCTTTGGCCTCCCCAGCTCTATCCTATCTGACAATGGTCCAGCTTTTATCTCAAAGATTACTCAGCAGGTCTCCACGGCTCTGGGTATCACCTGGAAGCTTCACATTCCCCACCACCCGCAATCCTCAGGGAAAGTGGAGCGCGCCAATGGGCTCATCAAGGGTCACCTGACTAAACTCTCCTGAGAGCTCTGCAACTGCTCCGGGAACACGCAGACCTGCACTTACCCAGTCCTGCCTTGAATCTCGATCTCCTCAACTGACCTTCCCCATCACTGCGTCCGGGAGACCAAGTTCTGCTCAAATCGCTTCAGCCAAAGCCGCTTCAGCCAAAGCCACGGCAGCCTCCATGGACCGGTCCACACATGGTCATTCTCACCACGCCTACAGCGGTAACACTTCTGGGACACCCCTCCTGGCACCATCTCTCTCGGGTGAAACATGCCCCCGAAGACAAACAGTATGCATGTCGTAACTTGGGTCCTACTAGGATGCGTATTTCTTGTCAAAATCTTCCCGAGCCCAGTGTCCTAGGTATGGAAATTCAAAGTTAGGGAGACCTTTGTCTCAGGATCCACGGAGACTACCCACTTGGTGGGTACCGCGGAGTGCCCACAGGCCGGATGCACAGCACCTATCACTCTCACCCTAACTCTTTCATTGATTACCAACACTATGAACTCCTTGCTTCTTTTATCATCAAACCTTAGATCACTGTAAGAATTCCTGCAAAGAATATGGGGGGTGCCCTTATCCGTCATGTACAGTGCACCTTCCAGACAAAGGCCAAATGTTCTCTCTGGTCTGTCATAATACGGGTTTCAATACGAATTAAGTTAACTATCTTTTTCAGATCCTTGGGACCTACACTTTGTACAGGGAGTCCAAGCCACAGGGTACACTGGCTGGCATTCCTACCCAGTGGCAACATTGTCCGTCTCAAGGGACTATGTCCCGACACAAAATGCCACAGTCCAAGTCTCCCAGGACATCCTCCATTCAGAGCAAGTCCTACAAAATCAGCTAACATCATCAGAAAAGACTGAGACACCCTCAACCTGGGTTCCTATAATCCAAAATGCTATACTCTTCCTAAATGACTCTTTTGGGACTAATACCTCCTCTTGTTTCCTCTGCTTCCCTTCAGAGGCCTCTACTGGTGGCAGCTCCAATTAATCTCAATACCACTACGACCAAGATAACAGACGCTGCTTGCCAGACTCCCCAACTCTCAGTCCCCCTACGGGACTCCAATCACAGCTACCCCTGCTAGCAAACTGATGCCTTTGTCAGCTTTCATTCCTGCACTTCTAACATTTCGGTTAATGAACACATACCTCCTTAGAAAAACCTCTGTGTCTTTAGCATCATCACAAAGACAGCTCCCCTCCCTGGCACAGGTCACTCCAAAACCAGCGGGCTCTGGATCTGTTAACAACCGATAAAGGGGCACCTGCATGTTCGTCAGGGAAGAATGTTGTTACTATATCAATGAATCAGAGATTGTAGAACAAAATGTGGAAGCCTTAATGAAACTACACAAAGACGTGGAAAGGGAAAGCGGGGGCTCCAAGTCTCCACTGACATGGTTTCAAAATCCTATAGTGTCATGGCTCCTCCCACTCTTGAGGCCAATACTAATGATAACTTTATTTTTTTCTTTTTGCTCCTTGCCTCCTAAAATTCACACAGGCTCACATTCAGGAAATGTTTCCTACCACCTTTAACCAACCCCTTCTCCACCCATATTCTCGCATCCCTGCAGAAGACCCTCATAACCAGGCCTGAGCCACCCCCTTGGCTCTCTGTCAGAACCAGAGAGCAGTGACGAGGGGGGAGCACCGAGAGAAGGGGTTCATAAACGGGCTGGCCCAGGACAAAGAGGAGCGGCAAATGTGCGTGGCGGGGCAAGGGGTGGAATGTAGTTACGTCACAATCCCTGGGAACCATTCTTATGTCACATCAAGAGCTGGGTGCTTGATTTGTTGCCCCAGCAACCCAGGACTAACCCCCTTTCAGGTTTCCCTTGTGGCCTCAGATTACCAACTTGAAGGGGACTCGAGATCATGGGACCCAACCATGGGAGAGGGTTCAGGCTTGCTTGCTCTGTATTGTACCCCACCTTTAAACACTGAGTGCCTACAAAGCCTACGCTTCCCTAGTAAACTTGAAGTGTTGACAACCACTCTGGGTGACACTGGGAAGAATTGTTTAGTTTGGTTTTCTGCGGGATTTCTACTTCTCTTTGGAGACTTTCCAATTTTTGTCTGACTCCTCCATCTCACATTCTAATTCCTTATAACCCTGGGGCCACAGTGCCCCCCAATCAGTGCTCTTTGGAGTGATCTGTTTATCCTCTGTGGATCAGATCCCAGCAAACTGAACTTCCCAGTTGGGAATCTTCCCCCAGTCGTCTCAACATGGGTTGCTCAGCACGCCACAGGATAAACAGGTGACTGAAGCATCAATTCTGCTTGAGTCTTTTGAGAAAAAAAGCCTCTGTGTTAATGAACATATGCAGACATATGTGAAATTGTAACAGATTGCTCTGAAATGTGCCTGTGTCCCCCTGGCTGTCTCCTCACTGCCTCCTGCCATCAGCATCCATTGGTGCAGGAGCTTGAGCAGCGCTGCCTGCTGGCAGCTACTGAGTCATGGCATCCCAGAAGTTCGAGTCTGAAGACTGAGTGAAAATTCCTAAACATTTTTTCTTTAAACCAAGTTATCAGTTCATTTCTTCTGTCATTGGGAGGATGGGACGGGGGACTACTCACAGCACCTGGTGGAGATGTTGGTGGCATGAAGTCAGATGGCAAATCTAACTTGTAAAGTGGGGTGTGAGTACAGAGGCTTGCAGTTCTCGTGAGCCTCAACTCTCTTTTTCCTCTCCGCAGTTGAGAGAATGCCAAAGGAAAAACATCTTGGGGTCTTCTGCAGGATTTAAGAAAAAAAGAAGAAACATGGCAGTAGGCCAGTGGTTGTAAGTCACCTGAAGATGTAAGTCTTGCTCGGCCAGGCTTCCTGGGAGAGGAGTGCTCCAGGGGCAGCCGAGTGAGAAGTGAAGAGCATGTGTCCGACCTTAACCGCTCCAATGGGGTAGCGCTGCCCTCATTGGACAGGAGGAAGGTGAGGCCGTGCAGAGACACCCCTCTCTGGCTTGGCCTCTCCCAGCATACATGCCTGAGGCTAGTCTGGTTAGGGTACTTGGCCTCTGGCTGATTTTATGTTGCCATCATTAACCCTCGGTGAGTCCACATCTGCTATTTCACCTGCTTGGTTGATTGTTGTTTTCCTTTCCACACATCTTTATCATCTTGGAGGGTGAAAGGTAAAGGGTGAAAGGTCTTTTGGGGAGAGCTTCCAGAGCAGGGGTGTGAGATTTGGGCCTTCTAAGCCTCCAGGGTGAATGCTCAGAGGCCCGTCCTACTGGGAGAGTGTCAATAACACCCCCCCCCACACACACACACACAGGGCTTGCCCTCTGGGCATGTCTCCCAAAGACAACAGTGCACATAGCGGTTGATTTTTCAAAGTGATGAATTCATTTTAGCTTAGGAGTGGGAAATGCAGGCTTAGGAGAAAGGGGGCTTTTGTTATAGGTGCCAGGATTCAGGTGGGTTTTGTAGCAGAACTGCAAAGTACCTGAGGTTCACCAGCGATGAGTGACTGGGACATTCTTCCCTGTTGTCTTTTAAAAATCAACTGGACACTTACCCATCTCCCATGGGCCCTTGGCAGCAGGCGGCAAGGTGGGATGTGGCAACTGAGGGAGCAGTTGGCTCTGAAGGGTCTGGAGGCTGGAGGGGGTGCCTTTGAGACTGATGTGTAGAGGTGGGCAGTGTTCATCCCCGTGGAGAGCGGGTGACGTGGGAGTCCCAGGCAGAGGGTGGGTGCAGGAGATGATCAGGATTCGGAGCCCAGAGAGCGCTTGGCAAGAAGGTAAGGTGCCTGGGGTGCCCTGGCCTGGGGGATGACCTCATCCTGATGTGGGAAGAGACACTGAGCTCTGGGTCTCCAGCTATATTGAGTGGCGCCTCATTGTTTCTTCTGTCTATCCAGGCTCATCAGAACATGGAGGTGACTGGCTCACTCCAAACAGAGCAGCACACCAACAGCGAGCTGGCCATGAATCTCGGCCAGCTGCAGGAGAAGCTGGCAGAGCTGAAGGAGCTGGTAAGGCCTGCAGCAGCTGGGAAGGGCTCGGAGGCCTCTGGGAGGGAGGTCCTTAGGCCAGGACAGAGATAGCTCCAACTCAGGGCTGGGGGGCACTGATGACCCTGCAGTCCTGCCACGTCCGTGATCACCTGTGCCCTAGGCTCTGACATGAAGTGGTGGGTTCCTCGGGACTGCAGGTCACCTCCCTGCTGAGGCATGAGCCAGTAGGGGAGAGACGAGGCGACTTGGAGACATCCTGGTTCCAGACTTGGGTCTGGGTCGCGCTTCAATGAACAGGGCTGAGCCTCAGCATCCTTCACTTCAGAGAGCACTAGAAAGCAGTTCTGCTGTGGTGAAGGAAGGGGCCTGGGCAGGTGGCAAAGTCCCACAGTGCCTGCCTCAGGAAGAGGGGTCCGTGCCTCTCCCCCACATCTGTGGCTCAGATCTGGGAGGTGCCTCGGTGGCGGGAGCCAGCAGCAGCGGTGGTCTCCACTCTGCTGCCCAACCACAAGTCCGTTGTAGCAGTTGCTCCTCAGAACTGCCCTTTTCTGCAAGCTTCCTGGGTTATGGACAGGACCAATCAGGTGCAAGCTATGAGCTGATTGGTGCTAAGTGGCCCAGTCAGTCAAGGATGAAACATGGTCCAGGGCCTCCCTGGTGGCCTCAGGGTTAAGTCTCAGCATCATCACCGCTACTGCCTGAGTTTGACCCCTGGTCGGGAGCTGACCCACAAGGCGCAGCAGACCTCTCCTGCCTTGCCAGCTGCTCCCCTCAGCAGTGTGTTTCGGTCAGTCTGCCTGTTCTGCTCACTCTACACCTCTGGCCAATACCCCAGTTCTTCTGCACAAAAAAAGACAAACGGTCCAACCAGACTTGATGTTGGGACACCCTGAAGAGTGATATAAGCCAGGGTTAGAGGGAGCTGAGGGGCTCTGTTCCAACCTCCAAAGAAAGAAGGGGAAGACTCTGTTCCTGGCCTCTGAAGAAAGGAGAACCAGAAGCTGAAAGAAGAAAAGCAGCATCCAGTAGCCAACCTCTGCGGGAGGAAGAGAGGATGAAGACCTCTGTCAGAGACTGGGCCTCCAGTCCTGTGTCTGACATCACCAGAAAGGAGCACCCAAGACTCCAGGCCTCATGTCTGAAAGAGCTGTTTGTTGTTGGTGTTGTCCAGCAACTCACAAAGAGCTTTTAACCCTTGGTGTCTCTGACACCGGCTGGGATCCCAACTGAAATGTGTATTCACGGGGCATGAGGATGGGATGCCAGGATAGGCCGCAGTGGCACCCACTTGCCAGGGCTCTAAGACAAGAGGGCTGCCAAAAAGCCCCAAAGCCAAAACCAAGGGCTGGAGCAATGCAGTACCCATATGATAGGGGCCTACAGTCTGGAGCCGATGGAAGGATAGTGCCCAGTAGGGGACTCATCACTGTGGTTCTCAACCGTGTGCACAATTGCAAGAGACTTCAGGCTCTGGAAACAACCACCTTGGGGGCCTCCCCTGGTGGCGCAGTGGTTGAGTGTTGAGCTGTGAAGCTGCTTGAAGCCTCTACTGCCCGCAGCCTCTGCCATGCCAGTTTGATCCCTGGCGACAGGCGAGGGTCCCACAAGGCGCGACAGTCCTCTCCTGCTGCTCCCTGCTCCCCTCAGCAGTGTACTTCGGTCCTTCTGCCTGTTCTGCTCCTGCTCTGGCTCTGGTGAATTCTCTCACCTTCCTGCACTTCTGACTGTACCCAGTGCTTGTATAAATAAAATTAAAAAAAAAAAAAAGAAGTTCTGTTTGCAGAAATTCTAACCTCCTGGAACCCCCTGTGCAAAGTAAGTAGGTCCTCTCAGAGACTCTGGTTCCCTTTAGGGCAGCAGGTGCCAGCACACCCTCAGAGGACCTTACACTACTTCAAAGGGAACCGGCAACCCCCCCCCCCAGATCACTGCAGCACTATTTACAGTAGCCGAGCTGTAGAAGGGATGGTACATAGATAATAGGATACTACTCATCAAGAAACATAAACTCATGCCATCTGGGGCAACATGGATGGAGCTAATGGAAATAAGCCCAAAGGAGAAAGACAAATATATCACTTAGATATAGATATTTAAACAAAGGGCTAGTTTAAGCTGTCCCTTGAGTCTCCCAGGTGGTGCCTGACTACTGGCTGGGCCTGCAGACCAGCCTAGACTTTCTGGCCTGGCAGCTGGATGGTGGACTGACCTTCTCTAGTTTGACATCAGACTCATTTGATGACAAAGCCTGACTCCAGCTGACTGAATCCCCCATTGTGTCTTGATTCACCTGCACCACCACTGGGTCCCCAGCCTCTGCTGTTTACTGGGTCTGAGATGGATCTTGTACTGGATGCTGCATGTAATTTTTTCTTTGTTTGTTTTTAAGATTCATTTTTTATTTATTTATGCATACAAGAACTGGGGTATAGGCTAGAGGTGCAGAGGGTGCAGACACAGAGTAGGGAGCAGAATAGGCCGATCCACTGAAATCCACTGCTGAGGGGAGTAGTGGGTGAGACAGGAGAGGTCTGCTGCCCCATGTGTGTCGCTCCCTGGCCAGGGATCAAACTCAGTTCTAAGCAGTGATAGCACTCAGAGTTAAACCTTATGCCACCAGGGAGGCCCTGTTTTTATATATTTTTTACATCTTTTGATATTATTTAAAATAATAGAAGCACTCCTACTGCTCTACTTTCATAATAAACACGCTCCTTCCTCCCAGCCTTTGGCTCAGGTCAGGTTTACATGTGTCTTTGTCACCTTTACCCAGTGTCCATCTCTCCTGACAGTGCAAGCTCCAAGTCTCCAGGGTCCTCTCTCTGCTCCCCATTGTGTCTGCAGGGGAGGCAGCTTGGGGAGGCAGGAGCCAGCCAGGGAGAGGGATGCTGGGAAGTGATGAGGAGACAAAGGCAGAGAACACTTGGGAGATACTCCCTGGTTCACTGAGAAAAGCTTTTCTCAAAGTGTGGTTGTGGAATCCTTGAAGTCACCCAGAGCCTGTCACAGGAGCCACGAGGTCAAAACTATTTTCAAAATGTCACTTAGACACCATTGACTTTTTCACTATTTTGCCATCTGCTGAGGTAAAAGTTACTAACTGCAGTTATTCTTCACAATTACTTACCTCAGAAACACAACTCCAAGACAGTTTCATTTCAGAATGTCTTGGTTGAAGCATTAAAAATTATCTTCATTATTCTATCATCCTCAAATCCACATTTTACAGTACCTGATGCGATGACACGCAAGTGCACACACCACACTCCTGCTGCGTTCCCAGCTATTATGTGCCAAGAAAAATATTTGTATGAGATGAATTAGACTATTTTTTTATTTTTTTGTAGGCAATACCATCTTCACATGAAGGAATGAGTAACAAAATCTGTGGCTATTTGATTTGGTTAATTAGCAGACATTGTCCTGAAAATGAGTGTGTGCTCCTTTAAGAAAATCAACTGACAAGGGCCTCCCTTGGTGGCACAGAGGTTGAGGTTTGGGCTGTGATCCTGGCCACTGGTGAGGGTCCCACATGGCATGCAGACCCCTCTTGCTGCCTGATGCTCCCCTCAGGTGTGTATTTTGTTTTTCTGCCTGTTCTGCTCCCCACTCTGAATCTGGTGAATTCTCTCACCTTCCAGTGCTTCTGACTGTACCCAGTGCTTGTGTAAATAAATAAATTGATAACTGAGAGTAACTTCACCTTGACCAAATATAAGTGCTCAGAAAAAACCAGAATCATGGAAAATTGTGTCCTATCACTTGACAACTTCCAGTACTACTTTTACTTTTTAGATTTGTGGTGAAAAATAAAATGAATTTTTAAAAATAATTTGATTCCGGTGTAATGAACATTGAAGAGCTTTATAACTTAGTGAAACAATATATTACTTAAAAAAATCACACATTAAAACTAACTGCAGTTAGTTTTATGCAAGAGAGGGCTATGGAAATGTAACAGAATAAGAAATATTCAATGATATGGTTTTAGGATTCACTTTGCAAATAACCTGGGAGAAAATAACCACCTGTATAGATTTAATTTAGTATCAAAGTGGAATATTCACAGTTATGTGAAAACACTACTTCAACATATTTGTGTGAGGCTGTAGACATTTTTTCGTAGACTTCAACCAGAACCACAGCTAAATGCAGAAGGAAGCATGAAAATCCTACTGTCTTCTAATGAGACAGACAAGAAAGACAACTGCAAACAAAAACGTGAAAGATCCACTCTTCTCATTGCCCTGATTATTTTCAGAAATAAGTTATTTTTCTTAAGAACATTTTCTATTAACATGCATTGGATTATTACGATTATTCTAAATAAACAGCTGCATGATCAAACTCAGCTTTATTCCCAGTGTGGTCAATATGGGGAGCGATACCTCCTAAACAAGATTATACTTGGCGTCCTCCCTATTTTGTAAGACTGGACACGGACCCAGAAAGGAAAATGACTGAGAATCGCAGACCCAGTGCCTGGGTCACGGAGACAGGGTGAGGAAGCTTTGGGTGAGGAGAGGAGGGGCCAGAGCAAAGCCCCAGGTCCCTAGTCTGGTTCTCATAGTTCCAGGCCCCAGGGCTGTGTGTAGGGCAGGAAGGTTACTGTTGGGGATACCCCACTGCCCCCTTAGCCTCCCTTCTGTCTCCACCACCTGTGCTGGGCCCTGGACACTTGTGACTCCTCCCCAGTTCTCAGTCCCAGTGCCTGGAGGTTCCCAGAGAACCAGTCAGCATCACTGCCTGCCCAGGTAAGTCTCCACCCACCAGCCTGGAGTCAGAAGCTCCCCAGACCCCAGCAGTGCTGGTCATGGGGCCCCCAACCTCCTCCTGCTGCTTCTCTCCAGGGCTCTGGCCCAGACAGACACCTGGGCTGGTGAGTGCAGGGTGGAGGGAAAAGGCTTCTGCAGAGGAAGCTGCTGCCTTAGGCCCCTCTGTCACCCCCATGGCGCCCCTCAGTCCTGGTCCCTTTCTGCCCCCCCACCCTGCCTCCTCCTTTTGTCCCCTGAGTCTTGCCCCTTCTGGACCCGCTGCCCATGTTCAGTCTCTGGAGCTCCCTCCCTCCTGGACACTTTCTCCCCTGCCCCATCTCCCTGGGACTCAGGACCTGCCCCGGGAGGAGGGTCCGCCCGGCTTTCACCCCTCCCCGCCCCCAGGCTCCCCCTCTCTGAGGCTTTTAGAAATGGTGATGCCCCGCCCGGCCTCGGGGAGCCCGGATACATCGCGGGGGCTACGTGGACGACACGCAGTTCGGGGGTTCGACAGCGACTCCCCGGGCCAGAGCGCGGAGCCGCGGGCCCCTGGGCGGGCGGATCGGGCGAGGAGACGCGGCTCCGCAGACACTCGGCGCGGAGGCTCCAAGCGCTCCTGGAGGCCCCGCGCGGCCGCCGCAGCCAGAGCCGGGCCGGGGAGCAGCGCGGGCCGGGGCGGGTCACCGCTCCCGCCCCACCCCCCGCCCCGAGTCTCGGGGCCCCGTGACCCCCGAGGCCGTGGCCCCTGCAAGGTCCCTTGACCAGGGAAGAGCCCGCGGGACTTTCCCCCTTTAGG